CTTAAGAATGTATTAAGGCTGATTGACTGTTTTTGTAGTAGCTAGTAAGCAAATGTTTCTGTAGGCTTGAGGACTTAAATTACCAGGATGATAAAGACTTTGAGCCTGGAGTTCCAGTGGGTGAGACTGGATTTCATTGTGGTGCTGATGAGGATTTTCTTGATGACTGGAGCCCTGGCTTAAGTAATCAGAGTAACTTAGGCTGTGAAAGAAGCCTGTAAAATGGAACTCCTGAGACTTGTAAAGGCCTTATAATGTAACACATCTTTCTCTACATTACTCTTTACAACTTTTTTGAGGTGACTTTAAAAATCTGGTTAGAACCTACAAATGTCTTCAATAAATACTTCATGGTGAACTTGGAATAGCTTTCTGCTCTCTGTATGCACTACTTGATATTTGTGTAGATTTTCTTAAACCTTATTGCTATGGTAGCAGAACACTGCGGGTCAACAAGGCATTGATACAGATGGTTTTGCTGTGTAGCATAGTCACGGTGAAAGGAGAGCACTGATCTTAACGCAGGCATGTTAGATTGAGTCTTGCTCATGCTGCAGAGGCACACTCAACTGAGTCTAGGAAAGCAAGTGTACTTCCAGAATGAAAGACGAGTTTGACAAATGTTACTTCCCGTTGATATATTTTTACATTTACTGGGGTATTTGTTGTTAAACAATTACATATTTTATTAGAAACTTGCTAAACTGCAATTTAGATGGATCATATCTCAATTGGGAGTGATTTTTACTGTAACTTTCTCTGAAGAGTGGAAGTGGGTGTTGTTAGCTGAGCCATTTCAGTAATTTGTTTATGGTGTTGATCCATAAGCAGTATTTTTGACACACTTGATGGGAGTGAAGGAAAGACAGTAGTGAACTTTGAATTGATCTTGCTGATACAGTACTGAGGAAGATGATAAGGCTGGTTGTGATGCCACAGTTTGGTATCGGGATATATTTATGAAAATGTTTGGATTTGGAAAGACTTCATAAAAACTTAAGGTGAAACACCCTGTTGATGGCAATGTTAGTGAAGTTAAGCTTGGTGGTTGTGTGCCAGCAGCTGGTGAGCACCGAGTGCAATTCGTCCCCATAGTGTGATTCCCATAAGGCAGTTTAAAGGACAAAAGCCCTCATTCTTTCTGGGATGCTAAATCCCCAAGTGAACTAATACCTTGCAGGGACCAATGTAGCATCTTACTGAAGGTATAATTTATATCATGAGTTAATAACAAGTAGCTAATGGCTGCTTTGACCTCCGTATTTATGGCTTCAATTTTGTCGTGGTACAATATATGTATTACTTTGAGAGAGTTAAAAGGTACCCTGCAACATACAGATAAAACCTTCTGATTAAAGCCGTAGCAGTGAGTTATTACAATTGGTAAACAAAGTCATAGCAACAGTAAAACAAAGGGCTTAGGATGAAAGTTTTGTTATTTCTTCTGTTTCACCTGCTCTAAAATACTTGGATGAACTGTGTTATCTATGCAGTAATTAACAGCAGTAATCAATAAGTCAAAAGTTAAGTCCAGAAACACTATTTTATTAGTTAAAACTAAGAAAGCAGGCTGGCTTTGATTTTAAAAACTTCTGTCTTCAAGTGTGTTTGAAAACTTCTGTTTAGTCTCATTGTAGGCTTGCAAAGTAGATGATTAGCTTGAAATGGACAAAAGGTAAATGTTGGATTCAGGGCACAGTCTCTTTACCAGACATATGTATTCAAACCAAATTTTAGTACTGGTTAGCATCCAGTGTACATCCATAAGCAAAAATGTAATAAACTCTAAAGGAATTTACATACTTTTTTTTTTAAATGTATACAGAATGGGCAGCTTTAGAAATCCTAATTCCAGTAATGTTGCTCTTTCTTGATGCTAGTTTAGGTAAATGAACAGGTATTTTTGGCAGGTTGAGACTAAAATGCTGAAGGATTAATTTCACTCCATAATCTCTTTCTCAACTGTATTTGGAGAATACTTATGGAAAATAATACTTCGATGCCTGCTGAAGCAAGTATGAACACCATCATAGAAATACCTGCGAGCCACAGCTTATCATTTATTGGCATGACGTATCATGAACTGAGAGGAATTCTGACTATCTCTTGCCTGGGAGTGTTTTCTGTGTTTTTTTTTTTCCTCCTACCTCATTGCTTTGACTGCATCTGTTTAGCCATTGTGCTTTGAATAGTTACTATATAGCTGTCTCAAAGAGGTAACAAATATAGCTGAACCTGTTTCATTTTGCTATTTGTGCATCTTATGAATGGTTAGCAAGTCTCTCTTGTTAAGTTATTGTGAAGTTTTCCAGTAATCTAGGAAAGACATGAACCACAATGATATACATCGTTATAAGGACCTACTGTTTAAAGTCAGGAAGAAGAAACTTCTGAGTTGTTAGGATGTCTTAGTCACCCTCAGGAAGAGGGTGGTTCCTATACAATATCAGATCTGTGATGTCCACTTCAAGTGTGAAGTTAGACTCAGCCAGCTGCCCTGACACTAACCAGTTGCAAAAGGTATGTATTTAGTCACCAGCAGGGTGGGACCATCTTTAAATGCATGTCAGGCAGTACCTGGGCCTCAGAGCAATTTTGACAGCAGTAAATGTGTCCTCACGAAGTGTGGGTGAGTCTTGTGGTGAGTGCAGCTGGCTCCAGCCACAGGCTGTATGTGGTGAAGCTAAGGAATCTCTGAATCCCAGTTTAGGAAGATGGGAGAGGATTCTTAGATGTGAAGAAACAGAGGGTATTCCACTTTTTTAATGAGAAAATCAGAAGAACCTGTACTGTGCTGCTTCCACCTTCCCTTACAAGAAAGGATTCTTCTGCTTTTTTGGGTTTTCTGCCCAATTTGTTGCTCTTTATCAATAGTTCTGAATGTTTTAGAAGCTTGTGTGGGGAAAAAATTTTGGCCTGTGATGATTCTTGGCTGTCTTTTCAATATTTTTTTTTAAAGATTATGCTTTAGTATGCCACTCTTCAGTCCTACAGCACTTAAAAAGTGAATTAGATCTTGTATCCTTATTGCTCAGACATTTCTACCAGTCCTAAGTATAAAAGCTGATCTTTAGCTAAGTGGAAAAGTTAGCAGTTGAGATGAAATGCAGTTGTCTGTTGAGGATATGTTACTGTTAATGGAGCTGAGGAAGGTGTTAATATAGTTTTCAAATGGTTTGTGTTTCATAAAGAAGTAGCCTACCTAAACTGCTGTGAGTGATGTTTGTCTCTACTTCCACCGGGTACCTGTACATTCTAGAAAACCGAGCAGGTACCGTATTGCCAGGAGGAGTACAAGACAAATGTTTGATGTGCCATGCCTATTCTAGTGTTAGGCATTCAGCCAGGTCTAGTTCCCAATTTTAAAATGCTTATAAACATAACTGATGTTGCTGAAAACACCTGTAGCCCACTTTTGTTGCAAGATTGCACATATGCAGATGTTTGCTACTTAGTGCTTTTATATATGAAGACTATTGATATGGAAACAAAGACATAAACAAGTTTGAAACTAAAATGTTTTGCTGTGTAAGTGGGGCTATTAATAAAAGACACATCCTGGTTTATATTTAATTAGTAGCAGTTAGTCCATGGATTGCTCTATTTAGGTTCAGTCTTTTTTTTCTTCTGTATTTAATACAGAACAAATTACAATTTTCATACAAAGACATCCTTTCTTTCAAAAAAGATCTAGCTCTGTGTCTTGACACTACCTTATTCACAGTAAGCTGCTGTTAAAAATGACCAATTTCAGGCAAGATGTAGTGAACAGGCGCTGTGTTTTTGTGGTGTTTTTTTCCCAAGGGTTCTCTTTGAACACTTGCTTCCTCTCATTACAGAGGTTGTTTGCGGGTGTGTGTAACACAGTGGTGACTATAAACCTTGATAGGCAATGGAGGAGGACTGGTTAGACTTGCTCCACTGAGTTGTGTATATCACCAGGCCTTCTCTAGCTAAAGAAAAGGCAATGCATATGGACAATATTCACCTATTCTCTGTTGTTTCTAAAAGTGACATAGGTGTATAATTAAAGTTGGGTCCTTTTTGGTTTTGGACATTTTTGCTTGTGTGGTTTTGTTTGTGGGGGTTTTGTCGTTTTGGTTTTTTCTGTTTGTTTTTGTTCGTTTTGTTTTGTCTTTTGTTAAAGGGTGTATATGAAGGAAGCTGCCCTAAAAATACTTTGTTTTATATTCAGGGGCCTTTGTAGTGAAAAAGGCAGGAATATGAGAAGGGTGCTGGGAACAGACGCTTTTCAGAGAAGTGAGATATGGTAGATCAGTTGATTGGTGACTTGTGGATCAGCTGTAATTTGTTAATAGCAGAAATAGCTGCTTTGCCTTGTAGCTGTTGAAATTTATCTAGTACTAAGATCTGTTTCTGAATAACAATTCCGAGTTAGAGCGATGGAGCAGGCCAGCTGTTGTGAAGTGTTGGAGATACAGGAGGAGAAGTTTGGGATTACTTTACATTTGAGGGGCAAAAACGCCTTTCTGACTAGATGACAGGTCAGTTGCTGTTATTTTTAGGTAAGTGCTATAGTTGCATCTAGATGCAATGACAAAATTGACAAAATACTGGAGTATGATTTTTACTGGAGTTATTGCACTGATGCTAGATTTACAAGGCATTCACTGCTTAGCAGTACTTCATAGAACAAAAGCCACCTTCTAGTTTTAATACTGTGATTTTTACCATGGTAGTACTACAAGCAGATTTTGGAAGTTTATATCTTTGTGTTCTGATATTCAGTGCTTCAAACAGTGCTTCTGTGTATAAAGTGCCTTATTTTGGTCTTCACCACAATGTTTATCGCCACTGAAAACATTGCTATGTTCATACTGAAGTGCAGAGATTCAGCCATTATAAGCCTCTGTTTTTCAGTACTTAAATTTATAGCAGCATTGCCCTCTAGAGGGCACTTCTTATGATCATTTAAATAGATTATTTTTTATATTAACTAAATTTCCATTAATTTGTATGTGATACTTCTACTGTATAGTGAACAAGATGCATCTATTGAAAACCAGTTGTCTCTTTACCTGTCAGGAAGTGAGGTATGGGACAAAAGTTAAAAGTTTGCTTCTGTTCTCTGAAAGGATGTAGCCTGTGCTATCAGTTTTCAACTGAATTGTTTCTGAAATAGCTATTAGGGAAGAGGTCAAACTAATTAAATAATATCTTGCCTGTTTAGAGTGCTCCTGTCCTAAACGGCTTGCAGTGCAGTGTTATGGTGTATAGCATTTGATGTGGAAAATCCATCAGCAGAGCGAAATACAAGCAACTTGCAGCTTAAGCTTATTTTGAAGCAGACAGCAGAGCCTAGATAGGTTTAGAAACAAGCTCCTGATCCCCTGTGATGGATAAGTAGACATTAATGATACAAGCTTAGTATTTTCTTCAATTTTTTTTTTTAATATAAGAAAGGCTTTTGTTTAAAACAGGCCCCTTACCAAAATTGTTATCCAACATCTGTAGTCAACCTTGTGTACCTGTATGTCTATGAAGAAGCAGCAGGGGAGAGGCAGTGGGAACACATGTTTGCTGCAGTAGTTGGTAGAAAGTTTACAAATCCAACTGCTATCTCCTAAGTCTTTGTGTATTGTGTTCAGTTTATCTTGTTGCTAAAAGCTGGTTGGTCAAACTTGCTAAACGGCTTGAGTAAATTATGTGGTATAGACAGACTCTTGTCAGGTATGCAAGAAATGCTATCTTCAGCATTTTTCATAATTACGTTGCTTACAAAAAGAGTACCTGCAGTGCAGAAATCAAAAGGCAGTGCTGCTAAAATGATTTTGATGATGTCACCTTGAGGAAGATTAAAACTGTCCAGTTGAAGTAGATTGAACACTAAGAATACAGAAGTTCATGTTACTGAATAAGAAGATACTAGTGTGCGTGTGTGGAAAGTAATTAATTTGTGAAAGGCACAATTCTGACTTGAACACTATCTTGAATATGTCAAATTCTGAATTAGCTTGCATTATCAGATGTGTAGTGATTGAGTTGCTGTCTGAACCCAACTGAAGTAACGGGCTTGTGGCAACTCTGCACCGTGGTAATTGTGCTACTCTGATAAGATTGAAGATCAGTTTAAAAATTCACTGTACCCCAAGTACAGGCAAGATAAAAGATTAACTGTAGGTAAACCATGTTAACACATGACTGAAGAGGTGGAAACTATTGTCTTTTAGAACATGGTTCTTCAGAACTTTTTCAGATAGTGTTACTAGAATAGAAAAAGTAATTTGTCTGATAGAATTGTGTAATAATCAACCTGTAAAGCTCACATGCTGAATTACAGCCATAGTCTTTAAAGATGCTGTTTGGTTAAATCCTAGAGAACTGCATAATATAATGCCACGAATGAGCTACAGTGACAAACTGAGTGTGCCTTGATGCTGTTGGTTATGGCCTGAAGTGTGCTGTAGCATCTTCCATAGTCCCTTTCCGGAATGTTCTCATCTTTCCTTAAACTCTCCTTCAAAACTTGAAAGACACAGGAGAGTGTTAGCTGTGTGTTGAAAATTAACTGAATGAACCTTGCTGCATTTTGTTTGATGAAAAGATAAGTAAGGAGATTTAAAAAAATCTACCATAAGGATAGAGGATTTTGGGAGAATAGCTTTCTGATAGGAGCAGTGAATGCAAAAAGTTGGCTCTTTGCTTTAGGCTTCAGTTCTTTTCATCACGAGACAATATGATGGAATTGCCTCCAAACTGGAACTGGGCTGTGACTGAAGATGTCTCTTTAAGCTCCCTGTTTCTTGAAGGACTAATGGTGGGAAGATGAGGAATAAAGACAGGGTACAAGTCTGTCTAGGCTACTCAGTCCAGGTTGGAGATACGCTATAAGGACATAATCCAGAGTAGCAAAATAAAATTGCATTTACAAATTTTAGTCAGTTTGTTCTGTCCAGAGTGGTGTTGCAGTCTGAGTACTGAAATCTTCATGTCAGTCCAGAGCAACTGAATGCTTATTTAGAGGAAATTAATGATGTCTCTTTCTCTTCCCTCTAGATGGATTGAATCTTTGGTGTTGAATGCCTCTGGATTTCCTATTGGACTTCACATCTGGAAAAATATTTTTGATTTAAGCCACTCAGTGGCAGACTGAATTGTGGATCCAGAGTTCCTAAGACTTTAGCTTTTGAGGAGGCAGCCACTGCTGAATCACGTTAACCTGACATCACAGTCACAATGGTGCTGTCACAAAGGCAACGAGATGAACTGTAAGGAATTGTTATATTTAAGTTTGTGTCACATTTTCATTAAACTTTGAATATTAACTTTTGTTTCCAAGTACATTTTACTTGATCGGCTCACATGCTGATCAAGTGCCATGTATTATGGTTTAGATCTCTGTACTCTTATTTTTGGTACAACTACTGGTATTTGATAATAGAATTGTGAAATGGTGAAAATATAATTTCAAAGTTATGGCATAAAAATGGATTCTTTAATTTGCTATAATTTATTATTGTCTATTTTGTTGTGACTTCAGTCACAAAGTTATGAAAGGGTTACACTAAGCAGCAAGCACATTGCAATACATGCTCCAAACTGATTTTGTGAATTCTACTTTTATGTTGAGTAAATTCTGACAATTTTTTGCTGTTTTACTCCCCAATGTAGATAAGGATCTGATCAGAATGTGCTACATTGTGATTACAATATTTGTCTCCTTAGATTGTATTTAAAATGGACAGTATGTTTAAAGAAGGAAAAAAAAAAGCAAAACCTAAACAAACTAAATAATAAAAAACCCCACGTCACAAAAAAAACCCTAACCCCACACCCCACAAAAAACCCCCACCTTCATTCAATTTAAGATACGGAATACTTTCCAGATTTTAAGGCTAGGAATAGGCTGTCAGTTCCATGCCTTAATTTGCTATCTCTTCTGTAATAAATCATGATAGAGCAAGTGGTGGGTAGCAACTGGGATGGCAATATCTTGCATGATACTCGGTTTCATAAACTTACATGGTTTGTGGTTTGGTTTTGGTTTTTTATTCCTTTTAAAAGTATGGAGCAAGTATCTTTTAGCATTTGGTGTCTCTCTTGTCCATGGTAAGCTCTCTATTTTTTTAATACAGCTTCTTCAATTTTCCAGTAATTATTCAACCCCCTTTATATTAAATACAGTATGGATTTTACTTTTTCGTTTAATATACTTAAATACAGTTGTTCTGCTTCTTAAAGTAGATTAGAAGCTATCTTCAAATTTTCATTTTTTTACAACTGCTCATTGGATTTGGAGAAGCTCTGGGTTTAAACACATTCAAGATTATGATTTATTCATATTTTTTCTTTTAGCAATTCTCTGAAGTTTTTTTTCTGGCAAAAATTTCAAAGAGTACATGCATTAATGGGGAGATAGAAGTAATGAACTGTTATGAATGGAACTGGAAATGACCAAAGACTTAGGATTTACTTTAGAGGTCTGATGAGGCGGCAATACTTTATCTTAGCATATGTTGTTTATGAGGAGAAATTTGAAATTTTTGCTTGAATGCAGAGTTATATTTAGAGTGGAATGTCTGAGGAGAGATTGAATACATGTAAAAGGTAGGACAGAAGAATGTGATGAAGCCACAGGAAGAATTTTCATGTGACAAGCAATTTATTTTCAGAAAAACAGCAAATTCTTTTCACAACAAAAGTCATTATTGCTTCTTTATTCAGCTACCAAAAGATATTAATTTTCTCTTGAATGCCTTGTGTAGACGACCTTCTGATTTTTAATAAAGTATCTGTAGATCAGTTTACTTAAATATTTGTAGTATGTTAAATATGTAGTATCTTCTCCCCACCCTCCCCATATATGTATGTATACACACACATATCCCTTCCCAAGAAAGTAAGTGACAATAAGAAAACAAAACTAGACTTGCTTCTGGAGGCTGAGAAAGTAACTGACAGTAATTTTACCTTTAAATCTGTTTAGAACATTCAGCTTACTTCTCTTAAGCAAACTTTTTGTTGTGTAGCTTGAAAATATTTATCCATTTGAAGTAAATGTTGAAAATGCAGAGTTTCCTAAGTCTGGTTCTCTTAAACAAAAGGTGCTGACTGCTTGTTGAAGTCTTAGAATAATACAGAAACTGTAAGAGTTAGGTCCCAGCACAAATGTATGCTATCTTGAGAGAGAGGTTCAAGACAGATTAATTTGGTAATTGTCTTGTGTCAAAGTGCAGAATATTTCGAAGAATAATGTAAAATTTTAAGCACTGTACATTTTGGTCACAGGCTGTATCCCTTCCTGTAATCTAACTAAAAATTATTGTATCATTCTGAAAAACAAAGCTAAGACTTGTTCTCTTAAACTGAGCATTTTATTCAAGTTCAATTGAAGTAAAATTTTGTAAGCTAAACTGTTCTACCCAAAATAGTTTTTCTTCAGAGATGAAGCCACAACTTTAATATGTAGATATGGGTGTCACTTCTTTTATCTGCTATGGGTTTTATGTATGATACAGACTGGTAAGTATATTTGTGCTACTCCAGTGTTTGGTAACTTAAAAGCAAAAAACCAACCAAACAAAATCCCACAAAATCCCTTCACCAAACCTAAAATAAAAAGTGTATCCTGCTTTTGACATTGTGAAGCAAAATCTGTTTGCCAAATATATTTATAAAATTTGCTCGGGCTTTTAGCAAACATAATAATCCCAGGTGTTGTACTGCACTGAAGACTTAGACGTTGATCATGCTTTTTTAAAACAAAAAAAGTCTGAACCAATTTTTCTACTCTGTTATTCATAATTGTGTCTGAAGATGCTGTTCTTTGTTTTTTAGAAATCGAGCAATAGCAGATTACCTTCGTTCTAATGGCTATGAAGAGGCATATTCGGTTTTTAAAAAGGAAGCTGAGTTGGATGTGGTGAGTTCAAGCAAGATTCTTCATCTGTATTTCAAGTAAAGAGTTTATAATTTTATGGCATTTGCACCCATTCTGAACATGTATATCTATTATCTACCTATTAATTCATGCAGTTTCAGAACTGGAGGTGATAAACTCATACAACTTACTGCCTTGTCATAAAACTAAAAAATATGGCAGGGGGGTGGACCTAGATGATCTTTAAGGTCTCTTCCAACCCAAACCATTGTATGACTCTATGAATTATTGGATGACTTGGTGATTTCTGAGCAAAATTCTTACCTTTCTCTTCAACTACTGAATGACTTAGGCATATTTTTAATTTTTTTTTGTTTTTTTTTTTTTTAATCTAGCTACCACTCATCTATACAATGCTAAGTTTTTCCTGTAATGGCCTTTTAAGGGTTCTGGTCCTGAGAGCACCTAGATACTTCAAGATGAAAAGTCCTAGAAAAGAAAGCTAACAAAAGGCAACATGAATGTATAAGAAAGGTGATAGGAGATGGTATTTAAACGAAAACAACAGACAGACATGGCCCTTCACTGGACTCGCTCCAGCAACTTTGTATAGGACTAGAGCATCTCTTATGTGGGGAGAGGCTGGGAGAGCTGACACTGTTTAGCCTGGAGAAGAGGAGGCTTAGGGGGATCTTGTTCTTTATAGATATCTGATGGGCAGGTGTGAAGATGACAGAGCTAGACTCTCCTTGGTGCTGCTAGTGACAGGACAAGAGCCAGTGGGCAGAAACTGAAACACAGGAAATTCCATCTGAACATAATATCAAACTTTTTTCTTTACAATGAGAGTGACTGAACAGTGGAATAGGTTGCCCAGAGACGTTGTGGAGTGTCTGTCCCTAGAGATATTAAAAATCCTCACTGGATGCAGTCCTGGGCAGTCTGCTCCAGCTGACCTTGCTTTGAGCAGGGAGTTTGGACGTAAAGATCTCAAGAGGTCCTTTCCAACCTGAACTATTCTGTGCATAATATTCAGAACAATGTGTTTAACACATTTAATTTCTGTTTCCTGCTGTTGTGTCCATCCCCCCCCCTCCCCTCCTTGTAACTCATTTCCTTAACTGTGCGTATTCCTGTCATGGAATTCTGCATAAAAGCATAAACTTTCTGCAATACAAAATTAGAAAACTGAAGACTGTTCTCTTGTAACCAGACTTGAAATGGTATAAGATGATGCAGCTTTGGGGGCTGACTTCACGTGGTAATGTTTAAGAAACGGGAAGACAAAACAGGATTGCTTTTGTCCTCTTCTTTATCATACAGAGCAAATGGTAGAAGTCTTGTTTTGTGATTGGAATTGGATCGGTAGTTAAAGCATTGCCTGAAACTGTAGCATATCAGTTGGTTAATCATACAGTAGGAGGGCAAGCCTAAATAGTTAATATAAGTTGATCAGCTCTGGTAAGCAACACTATTTTGTTAGACTGTATGGATGCTAGTGACTTAGACCAGTCATTTCTTGCAACTTAATTCTGTTCATTTGCCTTTGTAACAGATGATTCTTGGTATAATTTTTAAACTTGCCACTTATTAGTGTAAGTGGTGTGCATTTCATCTGCGTTTAACTTTTTCTGGAGACACTTGGATTGAGTAGTAAACTTCTGTGTGCTGACTTCTGATAAATCCTTGCCTTTTCTCTGTTATAAATCTTGCGTTGTTCTTTTTCCAAGATGCTTGGCTGGTTTGACTTGATTTCTTCAGTCTGCTTCTAGTATCTAATAAATATGTAGAAATGACAAATTGGAATACCATACTTATAATTGAAAATCCTAATACCATTCCCTTATCTGCCTTATCTATCAACCTAATTAAGTCTTCTCTTCCCAAAGGTTAAAAAGGCGATCTAAATAGGCTACATGGTCCTGAGGGAAATAGAAAATGCAGTTGCTAAAAGTTCCACATGACTTTCTTGCAAGAAAATCTGAATTGGATGGGGCTATACTAAAATGACAAAAAAAAAAAAATTAAAGGCAGAAATTATTTCAGTAAATGGAAAGGATTCAAGTGTAACTCTAAAAAGAGGGATTTCATTTTTTGGATTGATTATTCCTGCAGATAACTTTTTACAAATGCTGCTGAAGTAGTAGGTTAACATCCGGTCTCTGACCAAGGTAGCCAGTCCTCAGAGCTTTTATGGAGTAAGCCATGACATTGTTATTTTCACCATGCCTATGTTATTCTCCATCTAATTCAGAGTTATTCTAGTATGATATTGCAATTTTGTACATGGAAAGAAAGTGTGCAGCATTTAATTAATCTACTGTGCCTCTGTTGTTTGGTTTTCTGTGTTGCTTTTCTTTCTCTTACTTGTGTTAATAGGTGGGAGGGGAAAAAAGTGTATAATCCTCTGGCTTTTATAACATTAGCTGTTCATTGTTGCTCCTCGGCTATTCCTTAGAGCCTGAAGGAGAAAAATATTTAGTGGAAGAAAATGATTCTTCATTAGAGTTGCAAACTCAGTGTTGATTTCTCCAGTAGCTGAGGTGGTGTTCAGTAGGGCAGGTGTATTAGTCTGCTTTCTGCTTCAGTTACTGAAGTAAAGATGCAGAGAGGGTGGACTTAAAGCTTGTCTTTGCGAAGGTAGCACAAAATAATCCAGTATTATGCTGGTAATTGGAGGTTAACTATAATCAAGTTTAAAAAAAAATAAATCAAAGTTAGTTTGGGCTAACTGCTTTTCAAGCGAGATGAAGTATATGTGATCCTACTCTGACAGCTGACTGCCAGTTTCAAATGTTATGTGCTTCCATCAGAGAAAAAGTGCATTGTGCTAACAAGTAATAGTGCTAGCAGTCTTAACTCTGAAGGTAGGAGTTCATGATTTCCTAATGCTCTTAGTTGCTGGATATGACCAAGGAGGCTATCCGTGAGAACTGATTACCAGTTCTGTATGTCTTGGTCCTTGCAGTCAATGTGTGCTGTCTGCTGTTGATTTCTAGAAGAGTTAGTTGGGCCGAGGGATGGAGGGAATCCCGTAACAAATACGGCATTCTCAGATACGCAGAGCACTTGAAAAGCTTTCAAGTAACGAAGACAAAAACCAGCATAGATAACAGTTTAGTCCTAGTTTTTTTAGTCCTAGTTTTTTATTTTATTTGCAGAATCTAGCATCAATAATCTGTACTGATTCTAATTAAAAATTATATTTTAAAATGTTTTCCTCTTCTCTGTGTGTGTAAATTTTAGCTATTAAAATTTGAAGCGTGGTTGTTACATGTAACTAGTAAAACTGATTATAGTCTTTTACTTGAATTCCTCTTTCTGTGGTCAAGGGATTGTATTAAAATGAGTTGTTTATGTTGCCTTTGAAGAAACACTTTAGAACTAGGACTTATTTCTTTAAATGCAGAATGAAGAGTTAGATAAGAAGTATGCTGGACTTCTGGAAAAAAAATGGACATCTGTTATAAGATTACAAAAGAAGGTAAGTAGACATCTGATGGATTTACTTGTGTAAAAAGTTATGACTGAAATCAAACATTCATCACTGAACAGAAAGCTACTTATTTTCCTCATCAGACAAATGCGAGGTTTAGAAAATTATGCCCCAAAGATGAATTTTGAGGACTTGAGTAGGAAAAATACCTAAATCCATGTTGTAGACAATGTTTTGTCTATCTCAGTGCTAGCAGAGACATCTCTCAGTTTCTTTATTAAAATTTCTTGACTTCAGTTTATGGATTGCATGTGCAGTTTCTGAAGCTGGAAAGAAAAAGGTGCCTTAAGGCAGTTTGTGCATGGAAAGATTGAATAGCTGTCTCCAGAAGGCTTAACTGGTTTAGAAAGAAGGTAAAAACCTGTGCTGCCAGTTGTCTTTGGCCATTATGTTAAAGGAAAGAAACCATTAACTCCAGTGCATTAGAGTAAGTGATTCTACTGCAAGTGGACAGTACAAAACTCTTTTAGCAATGCTTCAATGGATCTAGAGTGTTTTAAAAGCTTTAAAAAAATAAAAATCACAGTGCGCTAACTATAAAGACCTAGGTTAATATATCTAGTTTTATTACACCTTCTGTTTCTCTGCTGCTGGTTAATATGCATGCCATCTCAGAGATACAAAAAATTATTGCAGTAGTAGAATTCCTTTTTGTTAACACAGCCTCCTTCAATAGTTTGTCAAAATAGTAGCTCAAACATATTTGTACAGTATTTGAGTGACTGTGATTTTGTAGAACTTTTTTTTTTTTCCTGTCAAAATATTTGGGAAGTTGGAGAAGAATAAATGACTAATGATTAAATTATAAAGAATAAACGAGATATGATTAAATTAGGTTTGGTTTTTAGAAATACTAACGTTATTGAATGTTGGTAATCAGTTTGGATCACGCAGTCTTTGCTTTACTGTGAGTTTGGCAGCCAGTTGGTATTTGGACTTTTAATGAGTGAAGGTGAACCTTGGTATAAACTAGAAATGAATCGTCTCTTTAAAATTCATAAATTTAGGTAATGGAATTAGAATCGAAGCTGAATGAAGCTAAGGAAGAATTTACATCAGGTGGACCTCTTGGTCAGAAACGAGACCCTAAAGAGTGGATTCCTCGTCCTCCAGAGAAGTATGCATTGAGTGGACATAGGAGTCCTGTCACTCGAGTAATTTTCCATCCAGTTTTCAGTGTTATGGTCTCTGCTTCAGAGGATGCCACAATAAAGGTAGGTGCTTGCTACAGAAAATTAAACAAAGCAAGTCAGAGGATGCGTAATGTGTAACATCAGTACTTCAGAGTGGATGTGTGTTTCCCTGATGGACGATTGTTTGTTTCAGATTCTGCTTTAGCTTCAGTAGGGACAGTTGTTTCAAATATAATGTCCTGTGTAATCTACAAATTTTAGTTTCATGCTGGTCCAATTACTATCTTCAAGAGTATTTTACTATCCTTTGACCTGAGGAAAAAATAATTAAGCTAATGTGGATTTAGAGACTGTAGAAATAAAGCATCGATGGGGGAAGAATGCATTTAGACTGCTCAGTAGCGGAGGAACGGCATAGTGTATAGAGCAGTGACATGATGAGAGGGAGGAAGACAGTTTCCCCAAGTCATCTGAAGTGAGTAAAGCTGAGTGAAAGTGGTTATGCAGCTGTATTCTTAACTGAAAATTAGGTCTTCCCATTTAGAATAAAGTCCCATGAAGTCCCCGTGACTTTCAGTAACTTTAAATGGTCTTCGTAGGCCTTTATTGCAATGTACAGTGGCATGAAGAGATTTGTTGTAGTGTGCAAGCAGTTTCTTATTTCAACATCCAATAAAGACATGACTGTGCATTTTGTTGTTGATGGAATGTCACAATTTAAGGGAATTACACTGATAAAGGATACTTCTCGTTGTGCTGCTCTTTGCTGGTTTGAAAACTATTTGGAAAAGTGCCGTTCTGAAAAACATTGAGTAGTGTATTAAGCAATGTGCTTATAAATGCAAGCTGTTCTAACAGTGGCTACCTGTTGGAGAACATTAGCATAAGAAGTGTCAGCCAGATCTAGTTCATGAAAAGCTTGAACCTTTTCTCATTTCTGCAGCAGACTTGAACATAGAGGACTGGTGTTTGTTCTTCGGGCAGGCAGGGCTAGCTGAAACAGTGACAGCTGTGTGTTTGTTGGATGTTACAGAGGAGCCTATTTAGCTTTGGTTTTGCTCCCTCTTATGGATACACTGGATGAATTTCCTTATTCTTGAAGTCAAGCTGTATAGCTTAATTTCTGACTGTTGCATTCCCGATGATTGCAGTCTGTTGGGATCATGGATTCTTTCTGTTGTTGGGCGGGTTTTTGGGGGGGGATTTTTTTTTGTTTGGCTGAGGTTTTTTTTGTTTAGGATATAATTTAAAATGAAATGTCTAATTTTGTGCTTGAGACACACACCAGAAAATCTGTAGGAGCTTGCTTTGTTTCAAAGGCTTTTGTTTGCAGTTTGATAATAGAGGACTGACTTAATTAGAAGGTGAGAATGGGGACTTCATGCTATCTTGCAGTTATTAACTGCAAATGTTTATTTAATCTTTGACAAATTCTGTAATCTACTAATGTGGGCATATCAAACACTTCAACGTGGTTTGGATTATCATCCCTAAAACTGAGCATTCTGAATATTGCTCCTCAGTATGCAGAATACTGGCTATTTGGTTCTGAAGAAGCAAGTAAATTCTGGAGCCACAGTAAAGCTTGGGAAAGGGGGAGCAGGAGGGATTGTTAAAGATGATGCTTTCCCCACCAACTGTAAATGGGCAATGTTGCTGAAGCTAGGGAACTAGCATAGAACGAGATAGAGAAAAACAATTTGTACAAAGTGGATTTGTTCGGACCAATGTTTTCCAAATGAATCTTCTTTATTTTTAAGGGTATTGGGTGTGAAGACTTCTAGATACATGGAACTTATTTTCCTGCTGTGTTAAGTTAGCTGAAAAACAGTTCTAAGTTAGAAAAATGTTCTAAGTTAGCTGAAAAACAGTTTTCAAGATGCATTAATTCAGTTAATTTGTAAGTAACAAAATCATATAAAAATAATGCTTATTTTTCTATGCTGTTGGGCTTTTTAGTGCTGTCTGTCTCTTGCTCAGTTAATTATTGAATAAGGTTCCAGGCTGGCCTGCAGAGTGCAAATGTAAGGCTCGAGAATACAAAGAGTAATAGGTTGCTGTTAACAGATTTTCTGTTCACTTGTCAGGTGTGGGATTATGAGACAGGAGACTTTGAACGAACCCTTAAGGGGCATACAGACTCTGTGCAAGATATTTCCTTTGACCACACTGGTAAACTATTGGCCTCCTGTTCTGCTGATATGACCATTAAGCTATGGGATTTCCAGGGCTTTGAGTGCATCAGAACTATGCATGGTAAGGTATAAAGGGAATTGATTTAGTCTGTAAAGTGAAGAGATGATTTTTTTCATCCAGGAAAACTGCTGATGTGGAAAGGGGTTATAAACCAGAGTATTGTCCAAAAGAAAGAGAGGGGGATATTTTGATGCTTTGAGTGCTCTGTAAATAAGGTGTATGTTCAGTGTCTATGGAATGAAATAACATCTCAAACCTGCTATGTGTGGTGCTGTGGGAAGCATCCCGTAATGATATTGAAATGAAATGGTGGTTTAGAGGGGATTAGTGCTAAAAATTAAATGTTTACTAGACAATAAAACTGTGCCTTCAAATCAGTAAAATGTTACCTCCTCCTTCACCCCTCTCTTTCCCTGATATATACCGCTTCAGGAGGGAAGTGATTAGTGCAAAAGGTGTTCACTGTATATATACTGTGCAGTGATTCGCTTCGTGTTTGTCGGATTTCAAATGAACATCCCTTTGCATTAGGCTTAAAAGCCGTAAGAAAAAATGGGCAAGTAAAATAGCCACAACTATAAGATTCTAATATTGACAGCAACTATTTATTTTATAGTCTTGATGTAAAGGCATTTTTATACTGCTGCTTGTCTTGCTTTTAATATCTTCTTGTAGAAGTGGTGAGTAGGAATAAAGAATGTTTGAGACTTATGAAAATAAACACACACACCCCCCCAAAGAAAACAGAAAGCTGTTGACTTTTGTCCATACAGTTCTTTAAACACCACAGAACACTACTGTAGAGGAAGAACAGACATTGAAGCTGGCTGATCGCAAGGAAATAAGGCAGTGCTACAGTGGGTTTTTTTGGTCTTTAAAGATTTCTTGATGAGCACACATGCAGTATGTCTGTTTTTATGAACTGGATGTTGTAACATGAGCATGGGTGAACTAGCTTCGTGTGTGTTGCCAGTTACTTCCCTTCAACTCATTTCAAGTAAAAAGAAATAAATAATCTTTTCAGTGAGGAGTTGTGAAGTACCATACTTGCACTGAAACTAGTATTCTCTGACACTTCACATACTTAATCACTGGTGTGATTGCTTTTTAGTAGAAGTTCACCAGGGGCTCTGAGTTCTTAGTGCAAAAAATGGAAATGAAAATTGCGACGTTGTACAGTGTAGGTATATGGCTTGCAAGAAGCAATGTAGCTGGCAATAACAGAAAGACAAACCCCACAAACTTCATGAACTTACTGGCTATAACTTTTTGGAAAAAAGAACATCGGATCTCCGGATAAAAAAAAGGAAGCTGTTTCATGCCTCTAATCTGTTTAGAAATTATATATGCTCAAACTACTGATCTCAGAAGATTCATTTCTAGTCCCGACAATTTAAGTAGGGACAATTGCAGAGCTTAAAGTAAGACAAGTGCATTAAGTCTATACAAACTGTTATAGTCAAGCTTGTACACTGGACTTGTCAAAAACCCCATCCTACCCAACAGCTGCTTCTGGATAATGCTAAAATTTGAAAACAGTTAATTCTAATGTTTGCCGCTTTGGGAAGTTCTAATTTTTCATAAAATCTCAAGTTCACATGTAGAGATTATTCCATAAAACATGCACTACTGCTGTAGCTACTTACCTAAGATAAATGAATAGCAAGTCCTCTGTACTCTGTAAAAACTGTTTATAGTAATAATAAAACCTTAATAAAGGTTTGATTTTGTTTTTAGGTCATGATCATAATGTTTCTTCAGTAGCCATCATGCCCAATGGAGATCATATAGTTTCTGCCTCAAGGGATAAAACTATCAAAATGTGGGAAGTCCAAACAGGGTAAGTGCGCTTCTGGCTAAACATCAGCACCTAAACAAAACAAGCATAAACCACTGTTACAGAGGAAATGCACCACATAAATCTGGAATGTCAGCAAACATTCTTTGAATTGAGTTATGGTATTGTACCATTTAGAGTAATTCATTTAAGGATTCTGCCTTAAATCATGAAGCACAGGGGTTTAGGTTTTAGTACCAACTAATTAAAACTGACTTTATCTTTATGGGAGCTAGGAGGGTAGAACACCATAACTCAGGACAAGGTAGGAATATAAGTTTAGCGGTTAACCATAAGTTTAAAGGGAGCATGAGAGGAGGGAGGAGAAATCTGTTAACTTTCTTGACACAGTTCAAGGTGTCTACTGATTTTTGGTTTTGTCTTGTTTCGTTCATCAGTTATCTCTTTAATCCATCTATTTGCTAAAAGTTGTAGATGAAGGCTATCCGAATGACCTGTAAAAATCTGTACTTGTTCTTAAAATAGCTATTTAATGCAAGCTGTTGTGTCAACTTCATTTTTTCCCAAGCTTCCTGCTTTCTACCTTAACAAGGACTTGCCAGTTCTTAGCTGTCACTTTTCTCATGTCAACTTCCTTTCCATGAACTGTTTTATGGCCTTGTACATCACCATCTAGGACAGACATGTGCATGCTGAAATATTTTAACTTCTAAGAGCAGGTCAAGCATCCTTAAATTTCAAAGGCATATGTAGTGGGTTTATTGCAATATTGAGTCATGCTGTATTTCTTTTTTGAATAGTTACTGTGTGAAGACTTTCACGGGTCACAGAGAATGGGTGCGCATGGTGCGGCCTAACCAGGATGGCACCTTAATTGCCAGTTGTTCTAACGACCAGACAGTGCGTGTTTGGGTGGTAGCGACAAAGGAATGCAAAGCTGAGCTCCGAGAACATGAGCACGTGGTAGAATGCATTTCCTGGGCTCCCGAGAGCTCGTACTCCACCATATCAGAAGCTACAGGATCAGAGGTAATGTTTCTAATGCTATTAAATAAGCGCATGCAGTAAATTGACAGTGCTCTATGTAGAACTTACTGGATAGTATTTAGAACAACTAACATTTGTTCTCAAAGCTCTTGGCCGATATAGCAGGTGTATGAGTATTTTTTGCTGACTATACTTGGTGTACTGTTAATCCCCCATCTGGGCTTCATAGGACCTACGTTTTTTGTGTTTTTTACAGTAGGACCTTACCTTTGCACTAATGAAAGTGAACTTTGGAGAGATGCTCTATTTGCGAGAGGGTTGAGAGTGAGACCACTTTCACCTATTTCAGCGAAGAAATGTGGAAGGTCGCTTATCTGGCATGCCAGCAAGAATTTCCTTCTAAGGATGACTAAGTGTAGAAGTGAACTAGAAATTAACACCAATTCCTAGTTAAAAAACTCCAGGTGTTTCTGCCTTGCCCTCTTCCTCAAAAAGAACACAAATACTCAAGGGAAAAAACAGATATGCTGAAGACAGAGACTTGTCTGGTGATGGATTTTACAGCTTATTTCAGTCAAATTTTACTTGCGTCCTTAAAAGATCCTTATAATCTTTTAATTAAAAGTGATTAAAACTACATTCCAAATGCTCATTTCCTCTTGCAGTGGTAAGGATCTGAAGTGGTGTCTCCCCTGCCCTCTGCTGGTCTGAGCAACTGTGTACATCACACTACAGTGCTTGGCTTGGCACAGCAGCAGGTTAGGGTTGACTTCACACGTTTCACGTTCTGAGAACTAAGTCTTTCATTCATACTTTGCATGATTACAGACAGAAATAAGTTCAGTGTAGGAACTTTATGAAAATTCTTAAACTTGCTTCATTACTTTTTATGAACAATGAGAACACAAAGGTATGTCTGAACTTTCACACTCTTTTATCCTGAGATGTCTGAGTCTACTTGAACTGTGTCTATTAAAAGAGGATGTCTTGCAGTAGGCAAGTGTCAATTCAAAGTATTATTTGGCTTGGTGCATCAGCAGGACATACAACCATTTCTTTAAATGGATTGTTTAATTCCTTTCACTTTTTGTTTCTCCTAGTATTAGTAACAAAATGCCTGTGACTCAGCTTTGGTGTTGTGTTTATTAACCCTAAGCTGTCATAGGATCCGATTTTTCTACTAAGAAATAGCACTCAGAAGGGCAGAAGGGATCTGCTTTTGCCCTCCTTTTGTGCGCCCCCCCCCCCATGTGGCATAACTTGAAACATCATTTTCTGTAGACTAAGAAGAGTGGCAAGCCTGGGCCTTTTCTGCTGTCTGGATCCAGAGACAAGACCATTAAGATGTGGGACATTAGCACTGGCATGTGCCTTATGACACTTGTAAGTTCACTGGTGTTTTTCTGGTGGTCATAGCTGCATATGTAAAACCAGTTTTAATGGAATGAATTATCTCACGTTTGTTTTCAAGAGAAGCCAAGGTTATTTCAATAAGAGAGACACTGGAAATACACAGTTTTAATGGCTTCTCCAGTTCAGATCTTCTTGTTGGCAAGAAATACTAAGAATCTCAAAAGGCATAGTATAAATGCAGGAGTACTGTGATGTAGTGTTTGTGATGAGTAGCTTGGTTTGTCTACAGAAATGCTGATAATCATCTGAATTTTGTCCTCTGTAAAATGCGGTGTTCTTTGAACGTGTGGTCTCCCCGCAGGCTAGGACTGCTGTTGGTGCTGGGGGTGGGAGCAGAATTGGCGCAGATCACATGAGGACTTCTGTTTGTTTGCCTTCAAGGACAGGAACTCACATTGTTGGTAGTGCTGATACAGATGTAATAATAGAAACTGAAGATAAACTTTGAGTTCTGATAGGTTTTAGAAAGCTAAATGATATCCTTGCAGGAACAGGGCAAGGCTCAGTTTGCCGTAGCATAAATTGTAGGATGTTTAGCCTTCAAACATGCACCTGCTCACTAATTTCTTCTTATGCACAAGGTGGGCCATGATAACTGGGTACGTGGCGTTCTGTTCCATTCTGGGGGAAAATTTATTTTGAGCTGTGCTGATGACAAGACTCTACGCGTCTGGGACTTCAAGAACAAACGATGCATGAAAACCCTCAATGCGCACGAACACTTTGTTACCTCTTTGGGTATGTATTGTTCTACAGTGCTTACTGCAAAGTACAGAGCCAGAGGTACAGATATTGCTACGTCTTCACCAGCTGAAGTTGAGCACCAAGCTAGACATTGACGTTTTGGATTCCAGTGAAGTTTTGTGCTATGTATATTTTAATCAAATAAGGACAGATACGAATTTCAAACGTGCTGGATTTTCCCACTTCTGTTGCTAGTGTTGCACACTGGATAAAGATGTTAACTGCCAGGGTGTCCTGGAACCTTTTGTCAGTGAGTGTGGAGGGATTTGGGGAGTGCCATATTGCAAATGCTTGCCCAGAAGAAAAAAAGAAATAAAAAATAAAAAGCAAGGGGGGCAAAGGGGCAAAGCAAAATGGTCAGGAAAGATTATACTTGGAATTCCTGGGCATGCCTCTTTGGTATTACCAGATGTTGGTAGGTGTTAGTTCCCCCCTGCCCTGGCAAAGCCAAACCTAACAAACCCCTCCCCATTGAACAAAGCTAGCATTATTCTGGAATCTTCTCTGTTGTTTCTTTCTCTGCTCCTCTGGCAGTTTGTAGCTTCTTCAGGAAAGCTGTGTGAGTTAGGTTACTCCAGTGGACCTGGAGTTGGCTGCTAAGGTTTGCTAATCAAACTTGCAGGTCCAATCAAAATGCAGGGCTTCTGACTTCACTCTTAAATCGTTGAAGACAGCTGATGAGAAAGGGGCAAAGAAGAGTTAGGAGTTGAAGAATGTGAAACAGTTAGCATGGATTGGCTAACCTTGGAATCAACTGCTTTGCTTACAGATTCCTTTGAAGCCTTCCTACACAGTGAGGCCATTTGATTCCTCTTGGTTAAACTTCCCAGTACCGTCCGCTGACCCAGGCCAAAATTGACTTGTATATATGAAATATTTTGGGATCTCCTGAGAAACAGTGCACTTTACATTTGTTAAATACTAGCTCACAGCCTGTACTGTCTGCAGCAAAAAGAAAAAGTCAAGTTTCTTGACTTCTGATTCTGAATACCTCTTACATAACTGCATGAGGTTCTGTCTTCAGGTGGTATTCAAGGGTTTTATCAGTTTGAGATGTTTTGGACTCCCCTCTGTTACAACTTTGTCTGGATTTCTTTTCCATGAAAGCTCCTTTATAAATGAACTGAAAGTAGATTTTCACCCTTTACAAAATTATAGCATGAGAGAATTTGCCTTCAGAACTACAGACATACTGAGCTTTGAAATTTAGTCTTTGAGCTGGTATCATTCTTTTGAAAAAGTAATGACATTCCAAAACATTAGTATTTTCCACTCTCACTGATTCATTCTTAACATAAGCTTTTCTTTCCTCGCAGATTTCCACAAGACGGCACCGTATGTGGTTACTGGAAGTGTAGATCAAACAGTAAAAGTGTGGGAGTGCCGTTGATTGAATTCACATTTGACCCCTTTTTCCTCTGGATGCACTCAGATACCATGGTTACCCATTGAGCTCTGTTTAAATAAATATTGTCCTTTCATGTAAATTATTCTGGATGTAGATTGAGCTTATTAAATGTTACACACAAAGTATTCATGCATGGTGAATCCAAATTGTATACTGTAAATTTACATACGTTGTCTAGAAGTACCATAGGTTTAAGAACATGGGCTGGCATTGGTCACATCAGACCTAAGAAGGCAGAAGTTGGATAATTGAAATAGGGCACTTAACTGAATAGTTGACAGTGTCGTTCTATGTCGGATAATTATACCTGTTTTTCTTTCTGCTGTCTGTTGGTGCCTGAATTGGTGACCTCATTTGGGAAAAGTTTTGTAGGGCTCTTTCAGAAATGTGTATCTATGTAACATCACTTAAGTGTGCTTAATAAATCTTCTCTAAGAATACTAGATAATAAGGCTGCAATTCCGAATCTTCTGAACCTTATATGTAATTAATGGAAATTAATTAAACTCTGGAATATTTGTCATGAAACATTTGCCAAATCAACAGAATACACTTGTTTTGGCCTCCTATCACACAAGGGTTGGTATATTTATATAACTAACTGTAAATCTGAAATAAGACAACAAATCTTAGTAGCAGCTGATGTGATAAATGTATTTATTTTTTATTTGGTCATTCAATGGTTAAGCTGTGCTGTTAAACTAAGTTTAAATGGGTTTTTTTTGTTTGAGGGTTTTTTTTTTTTGTGCTAGACAAACTTCCAGGAGGAGTTGTCCATCCCACTAGAATTTAGTGATCTAATTTCCAATAGAACTTAATCTCCCAAATGACTGCCATGGTACAACTTGCTGTTTGCTTTCAATGTTTGTTAGAGATGTGCAATTCCTATTACGCAACAGTATCAAAGTACACTTCCCTCGTTCATTCACAGGAGGTTGGAGTATACAAAGGTTTCTTGGTTTCTTTAGTGCCTCCTTGGAAACCCTTTTGAAAATGAGGTTATACTTACCTTGACAAGACAATGTGGCTTGAATAAAAACGTACTGTGGTTTGCATATTGAGAAATACCTTGGGTTACAGTATTTAAATGCTTTAAAGAAAGCACTAAATACCTTGAGAATCAGATTATAATGGCAGATACAGATTGATACAAGAAAAAGAAAACACCATCAACAAAACAAAGTCCATCTGTGGGAATGATGCTATCAAGTAAATATTTAAAACCAAAATGAAATCCTGTCAGCATCAGTTATTTATGTTGTTTGGTGTATACACAATTTTTAATTTGCATATCCCAAAAGTTACCTATTTTGATCTGAAGTGAATGAAAATGTTATAAAGTAATATTTTAATCAGCATTTTTGTGACAAATTCCATTGTAGATAACTAAGAATTACAATACTTATCAAACTAACCAGGTCTTTTTAAAAATCCACTTTAAAATTTACAATATAATGAAGTACCAGTCTGATGTTTTAACAGGTGAATTTGTGCTTTATTTTATGCATTTTGTTTAATACATGGCTTTTAAAACTGTCCCTTTTAAAGATGAGAATCCTTGACCACCGTAGCGTCGGCTGGAGGGTGTACACACAGAAGCGGAGCGGGGTACGGTGGTTAGCTTCCTACAGCTGCCCTCAGCAGCATCCGTCCTCCTCTGCGAGGGGGTGGATTCCTGGATCCTGGCGTAGGCTTGCCTCTGGGGAGGGCTGGGGGAGATGGACTTCTGATGGGGGGGGTTTGGAGCCAGTCTCAAAGATTCAGGCTAATCTCTTAAATCCAGTGGTTTATGTCATTTTCAGTGTGTGTTTCTGCAGTTAAGCATGCACAAATAAAGTATTTTTTTTTGTTAGCTGCTTGGACTGGAAAAAATTGCTGCTTTGTCCTATTCGAGAATTCCAGATACACAAGTAGTGAGTGCATCTTAAAATTCCTCAGTGCAACTGCAACTGTAAAGTAGGACATCTGTTTGATTCCTGATAGGACCTATAAACTTTATTTAAGTATAAAGTAAACCACACTCATGTACATAATTCATAAACGTGAATGAGAAATTAAAGGTACCTATGAAGTGGAAGCTGTCTACTGCGTTTTTTCCCTTTAGCATACAACTATTTACAAGGACAGACAACTAACTATAAAGTCATGTAAGCAGCATTTAATTGCTTGTGCGAAACACTCTAAGTACTTCTGCAATGCAATTTGCAACCTTCTCCTTTAACGAGCAGTGAATAATCTCAGGGATGGTCCGGAATGGATCAGAAGTTAAAGCCCTGTTTAGACGAAGAAGCGAAAGCCACAACACAGGAGTTGGGTTTGTGAGGGTTTCCTGCAGTGTTGCTCTGTGATAATACGCTGTGGTGAACTTTTTCCGCTGTTTGCAGTGTTTTCTGTCAGCTAATCCTGTGCCTTTCCTGTGATGATAACTACAATAATGAGGTTACTGGTTTGGATTACAAAACAAAATTTATTGGAGGGTTTAAGAGGTTCACTGCTGCTTTGTCACTTCCCTTACTAAAATTGGCATCATTTAAAAAGTACCTATGTATAGGCCGAGTTACCAAATAGACAATACAGACTTTTTGGCTTAAAACCAGACAGACATTCCAGTGCCACACTAATGTAACGTGCCCAGGAAGTCTTAGATGCATTCTAAAAAGTGCAACGTTTATTGTGGTTTAGACATAATCCGGAAGTTGATGTTTTATAGCATCTTGCACTTTAGAAGATTAAAAAAAACCCGTCCTGCTTTTGTGTATGGTGTGACCAATGATGTGCCCGGGGCACTAATTAAAAAGAAAAAAAAAAATAATCTAGTTGCTAGCAAGTTGTCCAAGGGCTGTGGAGCACTGTAGTATTTTGAAAGCTTTGGCTATAGACTCACCAGGCCCAGTCTACTTATACTGTCAGTACCCTGCTTCTCCTGTTTGCCTCCTCCTGTTTTTATGTGAACTGCCTGATAATATCACTCTTAAATAGCTTTTGACTCGCATGAAAGCTATTTAAAAGAAAAAGATTATACTTTGTTTTTGTAGACAGTGGTGGCTTGATAATCCTTTTAATGATTTGAATATTAAAAAAACCCTGAGTTGAGTGAAGGAAAAACGCACTTAGAATGAGTTATTTGCTGTCCAGCTGTACATAAAGTCCGGTGTATTTAAAAAAAGTCAAAACTGAGAATCTTCTAGCGAGAGTACGTGCATAAAATGGTAGGGATAAACACATTAGGGGTGGGGAAGGTTGAGTTGGATTTACAAGTCACAACTGGATTTGACTGGCCTTTTTATCCTTCCACTGTGTCATGTAAGTAGCTGCTTTCCTGTCCTGCCTGTCCCTCGGGCTTCCCCAGGTTCATTCTGAAGATAAGTTAGAAAATCTTCAAGTTTTAGAAGTTGATCCTGACATTGACATGAAGGCAAACGTCAAATTTTTTCATAAGAACGATGTTAGAGGTTGCAATTGGAGAAAACAGTTCCCAGGCTGTAGGAGTTAACTGAAGCTATTGACACAATTTAAAAACAAAAAAAATCAGTAAAGGAATGTATATAATACTGCTCTGTGTTTTACAGTAAGATTTGTTGCTCTCAGACTGTGTAAAACAAAATTTATTCATGTTTTCTGCATATTAAAAAAATCTTATTGTACCAATTGGTAAACTATTAAATGCATATAAAACTAGATGTGTTTTTGTTTCCTTGGATGCAGGAATTAAAACTATTTTGAAAAAAGCTACTGGTGTTTCACCCTTCAGATTTTGCTCCACACCTGCTTTTCTCTTATCTAATGTTAATTTAAATTGTGCTCGCCTGAGGAAACGTGAAGCGTTTGTCAGGCAGTTGGTTACTGCTGGAATAGCCAAAGGCTGTCTTGGTTCATGCGGTGACGTGGGATTTTATACAAATGTTGTTGTTGAAGCTGGTTTCACGCATGGTCTGGGAGAGCGCTGATGCAGCGCTGGGGGTCTGGCCCCTTGTGAAGCGCTGGCTCGCGTGCTGGGCTGGGCTGGCTCTTGCTGCCGCCTCTGCCCTGGTCTGCCGCAGCGTACGCGGGGTGGAAACTGCTGAGCGGGTTGTGCGTGGGGTGTTTGTGCAGGTGGTGGGTACAATCCTGTGCCTGGTGACGGAGGCACAGCACAGACAGGCTCCCTGCCCTGCGTGGTCGTGTTCTGTGGCTGGGCAGGGAGCTCCCTCTGCACCGCTCCCCTCCAGTGTGCGTTTCCCCATTCTTGTTTGGTTTGGATTTGGTGTTTTCCCCTTACCTTGAACCTTACTTTTACAGCACCAGAACTGTCTTTCACTATTTCTTTACTTGGTACAGCTGGTGCTGTTGGCACTGAAGGCTGCACTCTGGGGTGAATCTTCTGAGGGATGCAGCTGGGCACCGGTGGGTCTGTCTGTCTGTCTCTGGCAGCGGTGGGTCGGTTGGTCTGTCCCTGGCACCGGTGGGTC